TTTGGCTTTACTTCGTAATTTTGGTGACAGCCCCTTTTATGACCCTGGACTTCGGCGAGCTTCAGATTCGAGCAAGGGGGCGTTTGTGTCGCAGTATCGATAGTTCACTGGTTTAATTATTTTTAAACACCTCAAAATTACCCGTTACAACCGATGGAAGATTAGTGCAACGAAATAGCTAGAGCACAGCTCCCGGGCAATTTTTGTCGATAGTTTCTACACCACCAGTAGTTCTTGTAGAGGCCTCAGCCAGTTTTATGGAAGCAATAAAAATTCTTTTTCCAGAACTAACTAATTGCTGACCTAGTTGACGTGTCTTTTCATAAAGCTCCTCATTAACTTTAACGATGTTTTACCACATTGTAAGCTGCAGTTGTCATTAGCAACAATTCGATACACAGTTACACATATTGCAAAGCATTCAGTCGGCAACTTTACTTTGAACTGCTCAGTCGCTAGCTCGTCAGACGAATCGTCGTTACTTTTTTAAATACATCAAGGACCTTTAGAGTTTCAAAACGTTTCCGATCTTTAATTCTGAAGAATTAATTTTCTAAATTAATCATCAACAGACAAATAATGCGGCTGATTAGAATTATTTTATGCTGCGTTTGCGTATTTACTGGTCACTTTTCAAATGGAAGCAGCATTCACAGTTCAGAAATCAAATCACACCTTATCAATCATACGGTAAGTTGATTATTTTGCACGTCTTGAGCTCAAGCGTGACCAAACTTTTTTTATAATTTAAATAATAGTTAATTGTTTTTAAAATAACTTATTTTTCTTGCAGATGGAATTGATTGATAGAGGTTTTGCAAATAATTCTAACCCACTGATAATATCTTCAGACTTAGTTGATGACCAAGAGGCAAGTAGGAGTATTGATAATGGAAGTCCGTTAATTGTCATAAACGGTGATCAGAGATGGAAGCCAATTGAAAGGTTTCTTCCCAGCTATCCTACGTACATCCTCAAACTTGAATCTCCGGAGAAACTGGTACCACTCATCATTGGGTTCATGGACTCAACAATCTGGAACATAAAGTCGCCAATTTTTATTCTCGACATTTCTGAAGGAACGCATGATAGAAAAGTTCATTGGGTTCTTTCATTCCTTGGAAGCCTCGATATTTTAATAGCATATTATGTGTGTTATGATGGCAAAAAAGATTCAACCATGGTCTACACTCTGAACCCTTACACGCAATATGCTCCGTCACCTTGGAATCAAGTTAAATTTGCAAATGACAATGACAATAGTGAAACAAAAATGACACTTTACAGTCTGCAATATCCGAAAGGTAATCATCAAGTCTGATAATATCAATTACGTCGCAATTGTATAAGCTAAATTATTTCTTTCAATTGATTTTCAGATTTAAATGACAACAATAAAAATATTTATTTTGATAAAACTGAGCAGTTAGATGGTCATGAAATAAAATTACTGGTCCCTCTCTTTGATCAAAATTTACCTGAAAAGTACAAGCCGTGACATATGATTGAGTACATGAAGGCTGTCAAAAAGATCAAAGACTCCGTATTGTATTCATTACCTGATTATATGAAAGTAACAGCGTCACTTCAAATTCGCGAAATGAATTCCAATTTAAAACAAATAAAATACGGTTTCGATGAAAGACTTTTCAGTGGTCAGTACGATGCGAAAAATACTATGGATCAATTAGCTGATACAAATTATAAATTTTCTGATTTTGTGACGCAGTAACATGAAATTCACTATTCAATCTTAACAAAGAAAACAGATCATTTGACGGCACTTAGCGAAGTCGACATAAATTTTCAGTTTATCTTTATGACGCTTTTGGTGTTGTTCTTGATTACAGTTATCATAATTATGAACAATAAATTTAACGTGATCGAAGGAATCATGGACATTGTGAGCATGTCACTGGGCATGGGGATAATATCTCCAATAGGACGTCTCTCGATGAAGATCATTTATTTTTTCGGTTTTTTATTCATTTTTGTGGTGATGCCCGAATTCCAAGGACAAATCTCGGCCATTCTATCTCAACCTGCAAGACGCAATGTCGAAACCCTACAGGACTTATTTGACAACAAGTACCATGTATTTTATAATGGGTTATTACAAAATGACATGATTAATAAACAATTGTGGGTGACCGAAGAGGACCAGAAATACTTGCATCCATCGGGTTCTCTTGATCTGGAAAAATGTGCTCCAGAAGCCCAACAAAATTCGACCATCGCTTGTATTGACTTGACTTTAAACCAACTCCTCTACGCCTTAAAGCTTCAAAATCTGTATGTATCAAAGGAAATCACGTTCAAGAAATATTATGTGTTTTGGACAAGGAAGAACTGGGCGCTGAAGGACAAAATTGATAAAGTTCGTTCAATACCGGTGGAAACAGGATTAATTTATCATTATGGTGAAGAGATAGAGAAGAATCTATGGAAACAGATAGAGAAGATGAAGAAAATTAAAGAAGCTGAAAATTATGAACGAATCGACTTTGATAACTTGGTCTTTTATGTAATTGTATTTGCAGCTAGTTTGCTGTGGAGCTTGGTCATTTTTGGAATTGAACTTATGGTCTACCGCATTCACTGTAAATATCAAAGACGGGAAAAGGAGCGACGACAGTTCATTGAGAGATTGAGAGCACAACCACGGATTATTTTACCCCGGTTTGAATAGTTCTGTTAAACACTCACGAGCGATTTAAATAGAGGAAAAGTCAGCCATTGAATTAGTAGATAAGTTTTGTTTTGCAATTTTAATACCGATTATTGTGATTGATCGGTGAGTATTTTTGTCTTTTCCGTGTGATTTTATATTTTATATACAGAAATTACGGATTTCATGCCCTGAGAGATTTTTTTTTCGGCTTAAAAAAATGTTGTGCATTTTGGATTGTGATCGTGAAATCTTATTGGGATAAGAAAATAATTTTCGAGAATTTCATTACTTAATCTTGAAATTTTTAATTATCACTCTAGTGAAATTTTATACTGTCCTTGAAATAATTCAATATCATCTTAATAAAATAGTTTATTAAACTAAGAGATGTTTTTCGTCCATTAAGATTTTTAAATGTTAGCTAAAATAATTATTTAATCTCAAGCTATAATTATCTCTGTTCTAAGAATATAACAGTATACTATAGAGTGAGAGAGCTACAAATTTTTTTGGCTCAAGTGAGTACCTAGTACTTCTGAGTAGTGTCTAGTTAACCATGAAAGTATTTTGAATTGGAATATAATTGATGTGATATGTTTTATGGAAAAGACTTTGAGTTTACAAGATTTATTGTGTAAAAAGTCTGAATTAGTTAGTATTTTAAATCAAGTCTTAGTGTATTCTATTTTGTGTTATTAAATGAATCGGTTGCAAAATATCATGGCATACTTATTTTAAAATATTTAAATTATTTCGAAATATTTTCTTTAAAAGTTTCGAAGTTATGTACAGCCTCACTGTATTTTAAATTAATTCTTGATGTAGACGAGCTGCATCCAGAAACCTTGACAACCCTAAAACCGACCTCAGTAGTCCCTTTGAATTGCTACGAGCAAGCCTTAGCTCTAGGTCCTTTTGATTCCGACAAGAACATCTTAATCTATCGTCTAGAAATCATCCACAATGAGTTAAGCGTCCTCTACATGAGCTGAGCTACCTCAAAATACCAGTAAGTAGATCACGACGATTTTATCTCCGTCGCTAAGGTAACTTCCTTCCTGAATGTCCTGCTAGGACCTCGAGGCCAGGGTGAAGGCCTTTGAAAACCAGCAAAAATGACGTCAATCTGGCTCTTCACTCGAATTCCGGCAGATTAATGAGGACTTGGGCCCATATTCTTGACAAGAGACTAATTTTAGTTTTCCTAATCCTTTTATAAATTTTATTTCTTACTCTAAAAAAATTAGATCTAATAATATTCTACAAGATTATTTATTAGAATCAGGATTTTTGCCTTAGTTTGAAAACGACAATCAAAAATGTTAATAATAATAAATACATTCTAAAGAGTGCGTTATTATTATAATAGTGCGTTATTATTATTATTATTATTATTATTATTATTATAATAATTATTAAAATTATTTATTTGTTTTAATAATTCCAAATAATTAGATCCAATAATTATTTTTTGCATAAAGTAATTGAATCATTTGATCAATTTATTTTTTTAGGTATAAAAATTTGTCCAGCACCTACAAATTTAGTTACGAAAAAACTCTGCACCCAGTTAATAAATCAGGAGTCAATTTGTTGGAGCATCTTGTAAAGGTTTTCACCGAAATAACTCCAAAAATTCGGCAGCTCAACGACTAAAAAATTTCTTAAACAATTTCTCAATTATTACTGCAGCTAAAGAGTGATTTATAAAAATCACAGATATGAATTTATATACTGTATTTAAGAATTTATTAAATGGAGGGTTTTGATTTTTATAAATTTTTTAAATTTTTTCATTTAAAATTTATCATAAAATATTTTTTCAATTTTAATATTTACACAAAATTTAAACTTTTGGTTTTAAATATGAAATTAATATTATAAGATATAAAAAAATCAATTTCATTTATTTCTTCACCTATTCAATAAATCGACACGTTGGTTGCATAGAATAAAAGTGTACCTAATGGTTACGTTTGTAACGTATGATGTTGTTCGCTTACCGATGGAAGATTAGTGAAACGAAAGAGCTAGAGCACAGCTCCCGGGCAATTTTTGGTCGATAGTTTCTACAGCACTAGTAGTTCGTGTGGAGGCCTCCACCAGTTTTATGGAAGCAATGGAAATTATTTTTTCCAGAGCTAACTAATTGCTGACCGACATGACGTGTCTTTTCCACGAAGCTCCGCATAAACTTTAACAATATTTTACCATATTGTGAGCTGCGGTTGTCATTAGCAACAATTCGATACAAAGTCACATATAATGCAAAGCATTCAGTCGGCAACTTAACTTTAAACTGCTCAGTCGCTAGCTCATCAGAGGAATTGTCGTCGCTTTTTTAAATACATCAAAGAGCTTTAGAGTTTCAAAACATTTCCGATCTTTAATTCTGAAGGATTCATTTTCTAAATTAATCATCAACAGATAAATAATGCGGCTGATTACAATTATTTTATGCTGCTGTTGCGTATTTACTGGTCACTTTTCAAATGGAAGCAGCATTCACAGTTCAGAAATCAAATCACACCTTATCAATCATACGGTAAGTTGATTATTTTACAAGCCTTGAGCTCAAGCGTGACCAAAATTTTTTTTTTTAAATTAAAATAATGGTTAATTGTTTATAAAATAACTTATTTTTCTTGCAGATGGAATTGATTGATAAATGTTTTGCAAATAGTTCTAACCCACTTATGATATCTTCTGACTTCGTTGAAGACCAAGTGGCAAGTAGGAGTATTGATAATGGCAGTCCGCTGATAGTCATAAATGGTGATCAAAGATGGAAGCAATTCGGAGGATATCTTCCCAGCTATCCTACTTACATCGTCAGATTTGAATCTATGAAAAAACTGGCACCACTTATCTTTGGGATCATGAAGTCAACAATCTGGGACATAAAGTCACCAATTTTCATTCTCGACATTTCTAAAGGGACGCATGATAGAAGGGCTCATAACATTCTTTCATTCCTTAAAAATTTCGATATTTTAGTATCATACTATGTGTGTTATGATGACAAAAAAGATTCAACCATGGTCTACACTCTGAACCCTTACACGCGATACGCTCCGTCACCGTGGAATCAAGTTAAATTTGCAAATGACAATGGCAATAATCAAACAAAAATGACACTCTACAGTCTGCAATATCCAAAAGGTAATCATCAAGTTTAAAAATATCATTTACGATAAAGTCCAATGTTTCGGTGATCCATTTACAGTGAACTCCCTCTGAAGTTACTCACTCTAAAGGTTGTTGTTTTCTAAAAATTGCTAAATACATTAGTGAAATATGCGTACTTATTCCTTTACTCTGTGTCTTAAATGGTGTATTAAAATCAAGAGATGGAGTGCACCTTTAAAATGTATATCGAAGCTTGTATTATTATCGCGCATTAAGAATGCGAGTCGAAGAATAAGTACGCATAGTGGAGATCAGGAGGAGGAGCACCTTTAGAGGGATTCTACACAAAAAAAAACTTACTTGCATCAAGTAAATAATTTTGAAGAACTTCATGTTCGATTTAAGTAGAAAAATTCTTAACCTAAGAATTTTTTTTTGGTTTAAGTAAATTTAACTTGATTCAAGTTTATTATTTTTTTTTTCACAATACTGTAATCTTAGAAAAGAAAAAAAGCGAGTAAGATCTATCAATTGTATAAGCTTAATTAATTTTGTCAATTGATTTTCAGATTTGAAGAACAACTATAAAAATATCTATTTTGATAAAACGGAGCACTTAGATGGTCATAAAATAAAATTAATGGTCCCTGTCATTGAAAAAAATTTACCTAAACAGTCCAAGCAAAGACATATTATTGAGTACATGAAAGTTGTTAAAAAGATTAAAGACTACCTATTGTATTCATTACCTGATTATATGAAAGTAACAGCTTCACTTCAAATTTTCGAAGTAAATTACTATTTAAAAATAATAAAACACGGTTACGAAGAAAGAATTTCCAGTGGTCAGTATGATGCGAACAACGCCATGGCCCAATTAGCTGATACAAATTTAAAAGAAATTGATTTTGTGAAAGAGTATCGTGAAATGCACTATTCAATTTTGACAAAGAAAACAGATTATTTAACAGCAATCACCGAAATCCACATGAATCTTCAGTTTATCTTCATGACACTCTGTGTGTTGTTCTTGATTACAGTAATCATAATCATGAACAATAAATTTAACGTTTTCGAAGGGATCATGGACATTGTAAGCATGTCACTGAGTATGGGGATAATATCTCCAATGGGACGTCTCTCGATGAAGATCATTTATTTTTTCGGTTTTTTATTCATTTTTGTGGTGATGCCCGAATTCCAAGGACAAATCTCGGCCATTCTATCTCAACCTGCAAGACGCAATGTCGAAACCTTAAAGGACTTGTTTGACAACAAGTATCATGTGTTTTACGCCGGATTATTAGAGAATGACATGATATCTGAAAAATTGTGGATGACCAAAGAAGAACAGAAATACTTGCATCCATCGAATTCTCGTGGTCTGGAAAAATGTGCTTTGGAAGCCCTACGAAATTCGACGATCGCTTGTATTAACTTGACTATAAACCAACTCCTCTACGCCTTAAAGCTTCAAAATCTGTATGTATCAAAGGAAATCACGTTCAAGAAATATTATGTGTTTTGGACAAGGAAGAACTGGGCGCTGAAGGACAAAATTGATAAAGTTCGTTCAATACCGGTGGAAACAGGATTAATTTATCATTATGGTGAAGAGATAGAGAAGAATCTATGGAAACAGATAGAGAAGATGAAGAAAATTAAAGAAGCTGAAAATTATGAACGAATCGACTTTGATAACTTGGTCTTTTATGTAATTGTATTTGGAGCTAGTTTGCTGTGGAGCTTGGTCATTTTTGGAATTGAACTTATGGTCTACCGCATTCACTGTAAATATCAAAGACGGGAAAAGGAGCGACGACAGTTCATTGAGAGATTGAGAGCACAACCACGGATTATTTTACCTCGGATCGAATAGTTCTGTTAAACACTCACGAGTGATTCAAATAAAGGAAAAGTCAGCCATTGAATTAGTTGAAAAGTTTTGTTTTGCAATTTTAATACCGATTATTGTGATTGATCTGTGAGTATTTCTGTCTTTAGAATGTGATTTTATATTTACTACACAGAAATAACAGATTTTAGACACGGAGAGATTTTTTTTTCGGCTCAAAAAAATTTTGTGCATTTTGGATTGGAATTGGAAATTTCATCGGGACAAGAAAATAATTTTCGAAAATTTTATCACTTAGTTTCGAAATTTTCAATTAATACGCCAATAAAATTTCATACTGTCCTTGAGATAATTTAATCTCATTTTAATAAAATAGTTTATTAAACTTAGAGATGTTTTTCGTCCAGTAAGATTCTCAAATGTTAGCTAAAATAATTATTTAATCTCAAGCCATAATTATTTCTGTTCTAAAAAAATAGTAGTATGCTACAGAGAGAGAGCTACAAATTTTTTTGGCTCAAGTGAGTACCTAGTACGCTTGAGCAGTGCCTAGTTAACCATAAAAGTATTTTGAATTGAAATATAATTGATGTGTTATGTTTTATAGAAATGACTTTGAGTCTACAAGATTTAATGTGTAAAGAGTGTGAATTAGTTAGTATTTTAAATCAAGTCTTAGTGTATGCTATTTTGAAGTATTAAATAAATCGATTGCGAAATATTATTGCCTACTTATTTTAAGATATTTAAATTATTTTGAAAATTTTCTTTTAAAAGTTTTGAAGTCAAGTTCAGCGTTACTGTATTATTAATTAATTCCAGATGTAATCGAGCTGCTTCCAGGAACCTTGACAACTCTGGAAGCGACTTTAGTAGTCTCTTTGAATTGATATGAGCCAACCTTAGCCTTAGGTCCACTTGAACCCGACAAGAACATCTTAATCCGTTGTCTAGGAAACATTCACAATGAGCTAGGCGTCCTCTACATGAACCAAGCTACCTCAAAATACCAGCAGGTAGACCAGGAAGATTCTACCCCCGTCGCTGAGGTAACTTCCTTGCTCACTAAGTCCTGCCAGCACCTAGAGGCCGGAGTTAAGGCCTTCGAAACCAGCAAAGATGACGTCAATCTCGCGCTTTTTTACTTGAATTCCGGCAGATTGATGAGCACCTGGGCCCATATTCCTAACAAGAGACAGACCCAGAAGAAGTACTTCTACATCAAAGCAATCATGAGCTATCAAACTGCCCTACAGGTTCTTGGGAGCAAGAAAACCAATCCTTTTATCTGGAGGGACGTCACCTGGGAGCTGTCCAGCACCCTTTATGCCATGGCAACTTTGACTCAGGATTTCAATAACAGCAATCACAAGGTAGCTATAGTTTTCCTTGATATATATTTTTTCAAATCGATTAATTGCTATTTTTACATAAAAAAGTAGTTTAAATGGCTTGTGGGGATTTTTAAAGTTTTTATGGAGGGGCAAACTCATTAACTTTTGAAAAAATCAATTTTTCAACTCAATTTATTTTCTAATTTTCTCATATGCCTTTTGGGAACCAGGTCGCGAACATCCAGAACTGTCTCGGGTCACTCTACCACCGTGCGTACCGCGAATTAGACCAAGAGGAAGTCAACAAACGCAAAACTTCTCTACAATTAAGCCGCCTGCACTATAAATAAGCGGCGAAATTGTTCATGGCGCTCGAGCAACCAGTTGAGTTCCTCACCGTTCAGATGGAGCGCGTGGCGCTTCAGGAACATCAGGCATCCAGTAAGTATTTTTAGAAGATTATATAAAAATTTAACTATTGCATTTACCTTTATGATAAGACCTTCTAAAAAATTTTGTATTTCTGGACTTAGCTTGTCAAAGTACAGAAAATACAATTGACTCAAAAGTTTATGATACGATATAACCGTGCTCTACTATAACTCACACAATTCTTATCGGACCTCCATAAAACGTAGCGTACATGTTTTTTGAAGGCTATCCAAGGTTAACTTTGTAGATCAGCTAAATCGCACGGTTAGTTTATTAATTACAGCAATGACTATTTCTAAAAAATTAATTGAAAATGAAAACTTTTAGTGTCTCTCCTCGCTATAGCTTAAGAATAAGATAACTTACTAAATAGCTGTAAATTTTATCTGAAAGCTCATTAAATAATTACTGCACCTAGAGAGTGACTTATAAAAATCACAGATATAAATGTATATACTGTATTTAAGTATTTATTACATAATAAATGGGTTTTGTTTTTTATAAATTTTTTTAATTTTTTCATTCAAAATTTATCATGAAATTTGTTTTTTAATATAATGACACAAAATTGAAACTTTTGGTTACAACTATGAAAATTAATATTATAAAATATAAAAAAATCAATTTATCAATTACTTATTTCTCCACCTATTCAATAATTCAACACGTTGGTTGCACCGAATAAAAATACCTGACAGTCAAGTTTGTAATGCATGATATTATTTGCTTACCGATGGAAGATTAGTGAAACGCAAGAGCTAGAGCACAGCTCCTGAGGGAATTTTGGTCGATCGTTTCTACGGCACCAGCAGTTCCTGTGGAGGCCTCAGTCAGTTATACGAAAGCAATAATAATTCCTTTTTCTAGAACTAATTAATTGCTGACCTAGTTGACGTGTCTTTTCATGAAGCTCCACACGAACTTTAACGATGTTTTGCCACATTGTGAGCTGCAGTTGTCATTAGCAACAATTCGATACAAAGTCACACATATTGCAAAGCATTCAGTCGGGAACTTTACTTTAAACTGCTCAGTCGCTAGCTCGTCAGACGAATCATTGTTACTTTTTTAAATACATCAAAGACTTTTACAGTTTAAAAACATTACTGATCTTTCATTCTGAAGGATTCATTTTCTAAATTAATCATAAACAGATAAATAATGCGGCTGATTACAATTATTTTATGCTGCTGTTGCGTATTTACTGGTCACTTTTCAAATGGAAGCAGCATTCACAGTTCAGAAATCAAATCACACCTTATCAATCATACGGTAAGTTGATTATTTTACAAGCCTTGAGCTCAAGCGTGACCAAAATTTTTTTTTTTAAATTAAAATAATGGTTAATTGTTTATAAAATAACTTATTTTTCTTGCAGATGGAATTGATTGATA